TAGACACATACTAGTGTATTAATATATCCTCTTTTCTTCTACCACTTGGCAATATTTAGAATAAAACAGAACAACATGATGCTGATAAACAAAATTTAATACAACCAAATAGTCAAGTAATAATGGTTAAACGACATTAGATACATACAACTTTAAGAAAATTAAACTATGCAGGAAATATATTAAAACACAATATATGAGTATTAATGTGCTACAACTAAATTTGGAAAAATGAAATACAAAGTCCCACCCACCACCCTCTCCCTACCCCACCCCCAAACCGTGGAAACTCTGGAGCCTTGAATTGAAAGCGAGCAATGCTCGGCCATCACAGGTTTGTACTAGGTGTAAAGCAGATTACTTTTATTCAACTCGGCTTTGATCAGGGGTGGGGAAACTTTTTTCTGTCAAGAACCTTTTGGATATTTATAACATCACTCCTGGGCCATACTAAATTATCAACTTAAAAATTAACCTGCTATATTTGATCAAAGGTTTAATTAACACTCATCCCTAATGTGATGGCTGAAACTGCGGTTGCCTTGGCAGGGGCAGACCAAATAATTTCATGGACCTTATATGGTCTGCGGGCCAGATGTTTCCCACCTGTTATAGCGTTCTAGAAGCTCACAACAAGAATTCTGTAAAAAAACAAACAAACCTGTGTGGAGAATTTATAGGAGAGAGGACAGGAAGAGCATTTTAATGGAAAGTTAAGTGAAAAAGCCCATCCCTCCACCCCACTCCCAGTTAAAAAAAATAGTACACAAGAATGTAACAAAAATGAACAGATGTAATTTTTAAAAAAAATAATAGGAGCAGATATTGTAAATGATGCTTACAAGGGTTTAAGCAGTATAAGATAGATTTTTATCTGAGCATCGTAAAAAGCACCTTGGTATTAAAAAATTAAAAAAATAAAACTCCAAACATCTGACAACCTCTTAACATTTTCATTTTGCCATGTGGCTGGTGCTCATTACAAACTTTAGGAAGAGGAGGTTTATTTGCTCAACAGAAGATAAATATGAAACTTTTCTAAGGTAAGCTTTATTTAGATTGAAGAGGTTGAAACAGCACAAGAGAACTTAAGGCACATAAACAAATTTAGGGGCAGTTATTTTGGAAACATTAAAACAAATGGTTTTCTTTGGAATAGTGTATGACTTGTTTTTTTAAAAAAATATTTATGATGATAATTTTTAGCACTAAGTAAATGTAATATCTAAGGCAATCACAGAAATGTAAAACACATAAAAACATTACAAAATATCTGAAGTTGAAAAAGGAGAATTATCCTCTTAAATATCTCTGGAATTATGGATTCATACTCCTGACTCAAGTGGCTTTGGTGTCTCGTATTCCATATGACAATGAGTATAGCTAGCTTGTCAACCCTACTGTCTTAAAAGTCAACCAATTTGCCCCATTCTGGTTACTTAGTAGGGTGAATTTTTTTAACAATGAAAAAATAATAGGGTGAGGTGATATATACCTGGCTTTCAATGTTAATAACAAATAAGGTCAAAATTATGTTGAGGTTAACTGGCATCTTGAGTTTACTAAGATAAAAGCTGCCCACAGGAAGCCTTTAAGAGACATCATCTTATCATCTGGCAACACACAAATAGCCATCTCTCCTTTGTGAAAGCAGAGATGAAATCTTATATATTTTCCACATATAAGATCTCAAGACACGAGACACACACAAACAACTCAACTCCTCTTTTTTCATGTATGGGTTCTCACACAATTCTTTTATTTAAACTACTGCCATATCCAGACAACAACAAAAAACACACCTGGTTTTCATGTTGACAAAAGTAGTATCATTGAACCTTTGTCTTTCCTGAGTTTCAAAAAGGATATCTGACAGTAAAGATGAACAATTCACTAAGAGAGAAAATGTATCAGCTCACAAAAATGTTCTATCTTTCTAAGTATAAAAAAATGAAAGTTTTACCACTACCATGTGTGAAACTACTTTACCAAATCAAATTTACCCTAGAATCATAAATTGAACATTATTCCATTATGGGGAGTCCTGGTGTAGCGCTGTAGGCTAAGCACTCAAACACAAGGTCAGTATGAACTGCAAGATCGACAGTTCAAACTCACCAGCCACTCCTTGGAAATCCTATACAGGGTTGCTATGGGTGGGAACCGACTCGATGGCACTTAACAACATTACCTTATGGCACTTTAACCACTCCAAGCTGGAAAAAGGAACAACAAGTTCATTCCTTCCCTGAGTGTTTATATTAACACCTGGTTTAAATGGAGTAAATATCTATATTTCAGTCACCTAGACAAAAAAGGTTACTGAAGATCCAATAGGCTACCATTTTATACCTGTGGAGTACAGTCAGAGGGAGGATTAGAGCAGAAAAGGAGGAAGGTCTTTTGTTGTAAAAATAAGACCACTTCACAGTGCACTCACAGATTGGAAAACATGGAAAAGGATTGAGGTTGTGAAAAAACAAGCTCAACTTTTCTGTTGACCCACAAAAGTATACCCTTGTATTCCCTTTCCCATTGAGGTATCAAGTTGGGTTTATAGCAAACTCATTTCTACCTCCAATTTGTTTTCTGACTTTGTGGAACTGGGTATGTTAAACAGATCCATACCATAAAATAAGTGATAGTACTAATACTCATCATGTACTTCCAAATGTAAAAAAGCATTCTAGAAATGCCCAAAAAGAAAAATCTTCTGGAATTGAATTTAACTTGATTAATTTTTATTTTATGTGCTTTTTCTGATCATCATAAACTGCTATATGTGTGTACATGACCATACTATCTAACTACATATATATATACACACATACACATTCATACAAATACATGCTAACCTAAAGGCTCATATGAGCACTATCTATTAAGAGAAAATCTGTTAAGTATATTATTGCATGACTTAACCTGATACCAATTTAATTCCTATATCCCTTTTGACATACTAATTATACCCTAAGATTATCTTTATGTTAGCAATACTGCTATCATTATTTTATCAAGGATCAGTACAGAAAAATAAGTAAAGAAAATTAAAATATCAGTTAAGTAACTTAAAGCAGTTACTTTAATCTTCTAAGATTTAAACTAAATTCTTGGTGTCCTTCAATACAAATTATAACTACTTAATTTATATAGTTCAAAATTATGCAGAGACAATAATTAAACAATATCAGTTTGAGGTCTGTTTTTAAATAAATTCTGTTTTTTAAGATTTCATTTCAAATTGAGTACAATGAACACAAGGATACTAAAAATGAATCTATAACAAACCACAAGTACATAATTAATACTTCTACAATAGACAAAACTACTAAAATACAAAAAG